ACATAATTACCAAATTCTTTTGCGATGATAAACAAGTTTTTTTCTCGATGGAAAAATTTATTCAATAATAGTTATTTTAATTAATGGTTGCTTCAGAATTGTATTAAAACATTAAAGTCTATTCATGCCAATTAAATATATTTACAAACTATATATTATATACTTTGTTGGTTTGTAACAGGATTCCTCGAAAGATGGATAAAATTTCAATCTTGATCCTTTTGATGCTACAACTTTACACGACGGATATACAAGGGATAACACCATGTTCTGATCTCTATACATATACAGTTAGATCTGGTGCAGATGATATATTGGGACAGGTCGAGGTTCCATTCCCGGCAAAAAGTACTCAGTACAATTTGAGAGTAGGCTTTTATACAATACCTGATATACATACGGTAAGTATTCTCTTTTAGCGTTTATTGTTAATAATAAAGTTTATTGTTAATAATATAACAGAGAAGCTCGTAGTTGCTAATACAGACATTCTGAATTCTCATCAAAACTTTTAAGAGAAAAATTTTAATCAAAAGATTTTAAACAGAAGTTAGAAGATCATTAAATAAGAAAATTGTTGTTTAATTAATTATTAGTTAGAAATATATATGTCACATATATGACTATTTTTTGCTTTATTTTATTATTAAAAATTTATTTAATGTTACTAACAATTTATTATTAACACATAATGAAGAATACATTTTCAGAATATCCTCTGAAAATTATGATTAAAAATAAAGTATTTACAATTATAAATATAAATATGCTTAAATGTTACTATAATAAAAATGAAAATAATTTACTCATCGGTGCATTCTAGATTCAACCAGTCGCTCGAGTAGAAATAGCACCACCGGTAGAGGAAACCATTCGAGCTGCTCAACAGGGTAGACCTTTGTTGTATCACATTTATTTTCCTAAGAATCAAGCAATTCCAAGAGTAACCAAAATATGGTTTAACGATCATCAATTATGTCCGGGTCCTGGAGGTATGTACCGTATTTGATTAAATGGCTATATACGATCTACAAATATATTTCGAAGAAATAAAAATAAAATTTACAGTTTTTCTGCCAAGTTAAATATATCAAATAAAATTAATTTATATTTTGTATCTATATCCAGTACTTTCTAACTAGGAGAGCAAAGATAAATAAAGAGATAATGTTCACTGCAGGGATCCGAATTTTTTTCTTTATCGTACAAATTTTTGTTTACGAAAAAAAAATTTGATGATCATATTTTCCATGTGTTTTGAGGATTAATATTTTCCCCACAAAAAAATAAGAATCTTTCCTTATTCTAAAAGTAAGAGACTACGTGATTTTAGTGGCAATGTTATATTTTATTTTAGACCCCGAAAGTGTACCAACTACTGTTGAGGTGAGACAAAGCGAACCGTCAACCGAACCGCCAAGCCAACCGGTAACAACTACGAAGACTCCGCTTCTAGTACCAACACCGAACAATCAAAGCCCAACATCAATCAACTTTGCTCATCAAATAAAGGAAAGATACAAACCACAATACAATAACACTGACCAATGCGGCCTGAAGGGTTACGTCGATCAACTGGTTAAGGGAGGAGAAACGACAAATCCGGCACAATGGCCGTGGTTAGTGGCACTCTTCGTTCTAAGACCAAACCTCAGGTACCAGTGTGCTGGCTCCGTTCTGACAACTAAACATGTTATAACAGGTACTTTAAAAAATCGAAGAATTAAATTTTATATTATTATTATCTTCTCCGTCTATCGAATAATATAAGTATTTGCATTATATGTACCTTTTTTTTCTAGAATTGTAAGAGATTTATTTGCTTATTTATAGTCACATAAATTAAATTACGATTTTATTTTCCATGGGCATACAAAATTCATCATTGGATTCAGATCATATTTTTCACGATCTTATTCTTATTAATCCAGGATATCCCGAAATATTGAAGAACGTTCTTAACACGCGCCAAGTGTTGTTATAAATATTACATAGAAATTCTTATTACGCTTATTATGATGTTCTTAAAATAACTTTTAGGCTGATATTTGAATGACAACTGTTCTTTCTCTGAACATGCAAACAATGCTAGGATTAAATTAAGATGTTCGTAGAATATTTATTATTCATCGTATATTTTCTTTGTTGTTATAAGACGTCTTGGATACTTGTCCGTTGATTTAGATGGAAATAATATTTCCAGACAATTGTTAGACTGTACATCTCGAAACTAGTGCTTAAAAATATTTCCTATTTAGTTTTTATGTTTTCCACAAATGTGGAATATTAGAACGTATATTTCATAAAAATATCTTATTTTTGCAGCCGCACATTGCATGAAGTGGAATGATACGACCAACGATACAATTCCTGCCAGTGTATTCGAGGTTGCCTTAGGACGATTTAATTTACGCCAGTGGCGTGAGGGGGGTTCTGTTAATCGGGAAGTCTCTAGCTACACGATCCATCCCGATTATGCGCACACGATCACTGGCGACTCTGATTTAGCAATTTTGAACCTCGTGGAGCCTGTCGAGTTTAGCTCTTTTATTAAACCTGTTTGCCTGTGGCCTGGTTCAGACACTCTTCGGAATGTTATCGATAAATTAGGATACGTTGTGGGGTGGGGAAAAGATGAGCATGGTAATTATCCCGACACCCCACGGATGGTGAAAGTGCCGATAGTAAGCCAGGTAAGAATCTTCACTAATAATAATTGTCAGGTATTTGCTTTTCATGACTTTGGCTGTTCGATCGATACTAGAGTTGAATTTTAATAGTAGACTATGTTGTCTAGCCAGAAAATGTCCAAAATATCAAGATACCTCATTTAGAACAAATAATTATATCGTGAAAGCGAAACGCTTAGAGACTTTTGCATTGTTAACGACAGGCGACTCTCCATTTGATAATACAATCCCATAAAATTCTAAGATACCAACGAAATCGGAAAATCGTGCAATCGATGCTATCATTGTGAAAAGAAATATTGTAAATGCTGAAGATTTTGTACAAATTGTAGGAGACCTGTCTCCGGAGTCACAAGGCTTTCTACGAACTCACTTCGTTGCGAACTTTTTGCGCCGGTGCGCGAGATCTCAGAGGTCCTTGCAACGGCGACAGTGGGAGTGCGTTAACGATCTATGACGATATCGTTAACCGCTATCAGTTACGCGGCGTTGTTTCGAGGTCATTACACACTGACGAAGGCAATGTATCGTGCGATCTACAAAATTACGTTGTTTATGTCGACGTAGCCAAATATAAAACCTGGATTGTAGAGCAGATCTCCACCACGTAACCCTAGTTTCTTGCAGAACTCCAAATGTGTTAATAGATATACTTTTTATATAAATTCTATCTAAATTACTATACCATATTATCATAGGTACATGAGAATTAAAGTTACGAATTTTACTATCAACTTTTTACGGTGATTGTTGTTACCGTAATGCATTTATTACAATAATAAAATGTGTTAGTGGATATAAATATAGGTAACTAAAAAATAGGTCTGTTTTCTAAACTTATTATAAGTGGACTTATTATATTACAAATTCGAGATGAATCGTATTATACAGGGTGAGGCCATAACTTTGTTCACCTTGAAATCTCCGCTATTATAATTACGAAAGTTATGCTATATCAAGGGAGCCATAGTATGTTAGTAATCTTTTATCACAAAGTGAAGGCGCTACGGAGATTTCAAGGTCAACTCTTTTTTTTAACCCCCTATTGTTTATTATACTAGCTTATTCTACTGAGTAATATAAATAACTTTTGTCTCAAATATTTTTATATTTGCCTAATACTTTTTGAGATATTAAAAAGAAAATTGTTAACTTTTTCAATATTTAGCTTATGATATCTCGATAACTGTTTGTCAGAGGGAAAAGTAGTGCAGAACTTTTTTACTTGATTTGGTCTCAGGAATATGCTAGTGCAATAGTGCTCCAATTATTTAAATCTTTTGTGTATGAAAATTTTGTGTATGTTACAATATACAAAATTGTCAAAAATTGTTTGAGACAAAAGTTATTCTTATTACTTAGTAGAATAAGGTAGTGTAATAAACAATAGGGGGTTCCATTAAAATAATAGAGGTGACCTTGAAATCTCCGAAGCGCCTTCACTTTTTGAGAAAATATTTTTAATATTTTATGGCTCCCTTGATATAGTACAACTTTCGTAATTATTATTTTTTGATATCTCTAAAACTAGCGGAGATATTCGAAATGGATAAAGTTATTGCCTCACCCTGTACCAATTATAATACGTTTATTGATGTGTTTATGCAATTTTCTGCTATATATCGTATTGCTTAATGTAATACTTCGGTAATGTTTTATATTATAAAACTTTCTAAGAAGAGCCAAAAATCTTGCCGGGAATTCTCCTCATAACTATTAGAAATATATTAGATGTACTACTATATTATAATTCTTACGATTTAAATATGTATAAGTTTTAGCTATTTAATATGTATAAAAATTGTTTAAACTTATAAAATTAAACTACAATTTACGTGTATATATGTATACTCCTTTTTACACTATACATATACTATTTTGTAAATCTTAAAAAATATTTAAATGTACATATACATAAAAATTTATATCTTTTTTTAAACACGTGCAGCTTGTTACTTTTTTATGTATTATAAGTAATAACAAAGCGAGAATGATGAAGGAAATAAGTCGTTCACCGAAATCGCTTCGAGACAGGATCACGGTTTAATGCCTATATCCGCCCAATCACAGAATCTTTGTAACATTCCCGATCGCGAGAATTTAATTCATACTATCGAACGTACGCACTCGTACGTTTTAATAAATTTAATTTCGCTGTGTGTATAATTACATAATTGCTACTATAACAGAAAGATTATAATAATGTAACGCAATCACAATTAATTATGAAATATGTATTTATGGGAACTACATCTTCTAAGTCGATGTAGCTAAACACATATTCTGGATTCTACAACAGATTTATGCCAACGTTAGTTTATTGTAAAAAATATACTTGTTGACAGGTATTCATGTAACATTTTTAAAGCCACAGCAATTGCAAAAATTGAGAGTTACATTTACAAAGTTTATCTTCGTACGTCACGGCAATTCATCTTATCATAATGCATTATTTATAATAGTAAAAAAATGAAGGGGATATAAATGTAAGTGTCTGTCATTATACTTCGATGGACTTATTATTAATGAAGAATAAATTACGTTACGGTATGTTTATAAAAGATACACTCTAAGAACTATGGATGTGAATTCTTACCAGTGGTGTGGAATGGACACCCATACAGGTGTTTATGTAATTCTCACCTTATCGATGTGAAATCAGCATTGCCTGGTTATTGTGGAAAATTCACATTGTCAACGTGAACGATCAACAATGCATATGTACTTACATATACGATACCTAAACGCTATAGCGATTGATTGTTCTATTATAGTTCCGTGTGACGTCGTCATGGCGGTCACATCGCATGTCGTAAAAATAAAACAATATAGCATCAAAGTTGACACCACGTTTGTTGGTGTGAAAGATTTTCTACACTTTCGATGTTAACATTTACACCGAGTTATTTAACTACGTGGTGTAGTGAAAGATCACACCACAATTTTTTAGAGTTTATATTAATTATATTTATAATTACTTAAATTTTTTCTATTTAACATACATATATAAAAATATTATTTAACTTTGTAAAATGCCACCAATAACTTCAAGGAATAAGCACAAGAAGCCTTATGAAATCAAGTTTGTGAAGTTGTACAGTTTTATTGCTCTCTTGTACAATTTGAAAAATGGGACTTACGTGGTTTTTTAACTCGTCGATTCAATTGAACTGATCGATCTTTTGTAGAATGATCGTAAAATGAAAATTGTAATCGTCGTAAAAACAAAAATATTCGTATTAATGGGTATAAGTAAATGTAGCCAATGCACTGAAAGTGATAACATTATCTTGACCTCCTCATGACGTAACAACGTAGGTTAAGTTTCCAATCTTTCAACCAACAAGGCTGTAGAGCAAAACAGCACTTAGTAAGAAATACAGTTCAGCAATTTTTGAACTCTAATTTATCGTGTTTTATCAAGAAAATTTTTTGCATTAATAAAAATTATCGTGGTCTAAACAAACTGTCTTCGTGAGTACAGCTTATAACATCTGTCGATTTTAAAACATAGATACACACGAAAGAGTAAGTACAACAATGCAGAAACTTACCAACCTGTATCGATAACATTTCAACATCCATTAAACACCTTTAATCTTTTTATCACAATTTAACATATGACGAGTAAATATACATATAGATATTATAAATTTCAATGTCATATAATTTTATCGATTAACTCTTTGTCACTTTCTTAAGTTCACTTGATAAATAAATTTTCAGATTTTTTAAAATTTTGTTTGAGACGATCAAAAAATTTCTTTTTAGATAGCAAACTCTATAAAACTTGCAATGATCACTTTGATTACTAGCTATTTTGAAACTGTGTTAAATATTAAGATTTATTTGTTACAAATTAAATATATTCGTAAACTATACATATATTTTTTGGTTTGTATAACAGGATTTCGCAACATGGCTAAGATTTTTATCTTCATTGCGTTGTTACTGCAACTTTGTACGATAATACAAGGATATCCATGTTCTGAATATTATACATATACATTCGAACCTGGGACAAATAAACCAATAGGACAGATCGAGATCCCATCCCCGCCAAAAAATGGTCCATACGATTTAAAAATAGGCTTTAATACAATTCCTTCGATACATAAAGTAAGTCTTCTTTTTTAATATTACTTTATATTGTCAGTAACAGACTAGAAGTTTGTTCACACTGTCCATTTTCTAAAATATAATTTAAGTCGTGTTTCGTTTCTACAAATAGTGCCTTAAAGAAATAAATAATTTTCTAAAAAGGGAGGATTCAATTGAAAATAATCATAAATAATTAAAAATAATCGTCTTTTGAAGAGAGAGATTTCCTGAACAGTTTGAGTTATAAAATAATTTTTAAATGTTTCTAAAAAATTAAGTTGCACGTATATTCTTCTCGCAATTTAAGTGATTAAAGACTCGAGAAATCAGTTTTAAAAAATGTAGGTTTAAAACTTTTATTTTGTTTGATAATTTGGTAATATGCTAAATTTATATAATAAATAAATTAATCTCATCGGTACATTCCAGAAATCTTTCATTCGACTAGATACAGCACAACCCTTAGGGGATGCTCTTGAAGGTGTTAAACAAGGCGGATCTTTGTTGTATCGTATCCAGTTTAAGACTGAAACGATTCCAACACTGACTAAATTATGGTTTAACGATCGACAATTATGTCCGATACCTGGAGGTGTGTACCATATTTGCTAGAAAGGTTATATAAATCCTATAAGTATATATTTGAAGGAACAAATGTAAAAGTTAGTTATCCATTCTTTCAAGTTACATTAAATTACTTCATATTTAATATTTGATTAAGCCTAATTTTTCATCGGTACAACAAAGATAATTAAAGAGCTAACTTTCACTGCAATAACTAATGATTTCTCTATAGTGTACATATTTTTATTGATTAATTAAAAATATGTTTGCATGTGTCGGTCATCCTCGTGTTTTAGAGATTATTTTTTCCTCAAACAAGAATAAAATTCTGTCTTTATTCTAAAAGACTGCGTAATTCAAGTGATAATTATATTTCAGAAACAGAACAAGTTGCAACTACTATCACGATATCAAAGAGAATATCCGTATCTGGTCCTATTTCGCCAGAGGAAGAGCCATCTTCGCTAAATGGTCAATCGCATAACAATCGTAGCAATAACAATAACCAGGGTTGGGTAAGTTTTCTTTTTTTAATTAAATTAAGTTAAAGTTAACAGTCTTGAAAATTTAATTTAGTTAAGATATAAGTTAACCCGTAAGAGAATTAATTGAATTAAATGTTAAGTTAATAATAAAAAGTAATTAAAAACTTAAAAGTTAAATTTGTTTTATTTTTACATAAAATCTCAGAGACTTTCGATCACGTAAATTGCATTGAATTTCGTTCGCGACTAGCGTTTGAACAATCAGTACACGGAATATGGCCCATTTCATATGCAAAGAATTTCACGTGGGTTCGAGAATCAAAACCCCATATAATAACTGTGTTCCAAAATTTATTACCAGTGCTGAAAATCTATGGTACACGTATACAGTAGATTTTAGAGCTGGCAGTGAATTTTGAAACACAGATACTATCAATGTAGGCAGACACACGGCATCTCGCGACGCCTTTGTTTATGGCATAACTAATTTTAAGGCCCGGTTTTTCTTTTTCTGATTAATTGTTAACCAGAGGTTAGTCGACTCTCTGTCTCTTTTCAGATGATAACATAGAAATCGATGCAGAGTCGACTAACTTTTGGTTAATTGTTAACCACAAGTTAGTCGACTTTCTATCTTTCTTTATATTATTATCTAAAAAGAGTCAGAGAATTGATTAATCTCTGGTTAATAGTTGACAAGAAAATGAAAAACCGGACCTAAGACAGAGAGGTACTCTAAATATTAAGAGTTACAGATAAAATGTAACTAAATTTAGTTAAAAGTTAACAATCTATAATGTAACTAAGTTAAGTTAAAATTATTTAACTTTTTAACTTAATTTTAATCTTTTTAACTAGACACTAGCCAACCCTGGCAATAATCAATGTGGTATAAGCAACACAAACCTTCTGATCACCTACGGATTACAAACAATACCAGGCCAATGGCCATGGCTGGTAGCAATTTTTGTTGAAAAGGAAAACCGTGAGTTTTGGTGTGGTGGCTCCATTGTGACAAACAGACATGTTATAACAGGTATGTTATTAAAAAAATTCAATGATTTTAGTATTTTTCCGCGAGTATCCAATTATATGAAATTCTCCTACATCTATTTCTTTGAATCTTTAGAGCAAAACTTATTTGTCGCAAGGTGGGATGCCATAAATCACCACAAATATAGACAATTTATCTATAATCGGGATATAATCGGGAAATCATGGAAATATTTCGAATCACTAGTCACTATTAAGCACTCTCATCATCATCCTCAATGATTCCATATTAAAGAATGTTCTGCACGATGCACGCAATACACAATATTTATAACAGCACGTGATGTGTTGTCATAAATATTGGTTAGAAATTTTTACAACGTTCATCGTGATATCTTTAAAATGTCTTCTAGTTGGACCATTCAGTTAGTAATATTTTCAGACGATTGTTAGCATATGTATCTCGAGAATATCGTTTAAATGTACTTATTATTTAGTTTCTCTATATATTTTCTGAATGCAAAATATTAAAAAAAAATTTTTTTTAATGCATATATCTCCTTTTTACAGCGGCGCACTGCATGAAATTAAACGTGATCAATTTATCTCCAAATGAGCTCTTAATAGTATTAGGACGATTTAATTTGAACCAATGGAATGAAGCAGGATCCGTGAATCGGACAGTCTCAAGTTACAAGATCCATCCTGACTATATGCACTCGGCCAGCAGTGACTCCGATCTGGCAATTGTGACTCTAAAGACGCCCGTTGAGTTTAGCCCTTTAATTAGACCTATTTGCCTGTGGTCCCAATCGATCCATCTTCAGAACGTCGTAAATAAGATAGGATATGTTGTGGGATGGGGAAAAGATGAATCGGCCAATTATCTCGAAAACCCACGGATGGTGACAGCGTCGATAGTGGGCCACGTAAGAACTTTATTATATTAAGAACTTTTATTGATAGCAAGCTTGAGTTTTGCTCTCCATGTCTCTCGCTGTTTAACCGATACGCGAGTTAAATTTCAGTGGTAGACAAAATTTTCTGAAAACAAAATATCCGAAACACATGAAGGTACCTTGATGACGATCCGGAATATTTATATCGCGAGAGGGAAATGCTTAGAGACTTTTGTATGTCGTTAACGACGAGGCACGGCACTCCATTTGATTTTGCTACGTTTACATTTACATACACAGTAATATAATTTATAGCGTCTTCGTTATGTAAATGCTACATTTTTGTTTACTGGATAGTTAATTTTTATTTTATGATAACAACACCATAGTAATAAGAACATTTGCTGCATATCTCTATGACAAATGGATTTGTCAAAGACATTACACACATCGAGTACAACAGGATCGATGAATGTGCCAATTGATAAGCGCGATCGTCGCTCACGCGAATTTTTGTGAACGTCTTCAAGGTAGCTCAATTCCGTATAATTCCAAGATGCTAACGACATCGAGGAATCGTCAAATCGCTATTATGGAAGCAAATATTGCAAATAATGGAAATCTGTTGATGAACGAGTTAGAGAAAATCGAATTACAGGATACCTGTTTATGGAGCAATCTAGGTTTTTTCTTTCTCACATCGAACCGCACCTTTTGCGCCGGTTTTCGAAACTCCAGCGGTCCTTGCAATGGTGATAGTGGGAGCGGGCTGGTGCTTTTCAACAATATCACAGGCCGTTATTACCTGCGCGGCCTCGTTTCGCGATCGTTGGTTGGCGAGACACTGTGTGATCTTCAGAATTACATTGTCTATGTTGACGTGGCCAAATATATACCTTGGATTGTACAGCAGATCACCACCATGTAACGCTAGTCTCCTTACATCCTGTCTTGGCTTTTGCTTTTTTATTTATTCGTCTCTACAATTTCACATTAGAGCCATATGACTTTATTAATTGCTTAATATAAATGTATATCATTAATTGCTGATGAAGAACTAGTTATTTATTAATTATACCGGTAATTTCTCATTACATATATTTACTAGACAAGTGTTTAAATAACATTTATTCGAAATCTTGCGAGAAGTGAAAATTAAGTGTACAAATTTTATATTATAAATATAAAGCATTCTGAAAAGTATAAAAAATATTGCCGGCAACTATGCTTATGTGATTATTAAATATATATTTAGCGTACCGCCAAGTCAACCGGTAACTACGACGACTCCGCTTCCAGTGCCAACACTGAACACTAAACGCCCATCACACTCTACCATCGCTACTCCAATATTCGAAAGACCACATTATAATGAAATCGACTGCGGTCGGCCGAGTACCACCTATCTACTGGATAAGGGAGGAATGTCGTCACATGCGGCACAATGGCCGTGGTTAGTGGCACTCTTCGTTCCAATATCAAACCTCAGGTTCCATTGTGCTGGCACCCTTCTGACAACTAGACATGTTATAATAGGTACTTTAAAAAATCGAAGAATTAAACTTTATATT